ATTATTATATTAATTCCTTACTTGCTTCACATCCATAAAGCTCCACTCTCATACAAACACTGCCGTACCAAGTTTTGGGATAAAAGCGGACATATTGTGCAGCAAGAACCCTTTCCAATGTATTCCTTGCAACCAATTCTCTGTTTACGCTTCCTTTGAACTAATAAAAGCGTACTTTCAGTCGATACATTTTGAATGTTTTCCAAATACTTTTATAATATTCACGTTTCAAMCTTCTGCCCGTCCATAATTTTTCCACTGATACATCTTATTAATACTACCGTATAATAATACACCAGTTTCGAATTCTCTTTTGTGMACTAGCTTATTTGTACACAGTGTTTGCATTACAATAGGATCTCTGCTGAATAAAAGAATATATTACACGCTTTCGAGGTTAAAGCTGCACAAATAAGATTTCGAAACTTGAGTATTTATCTATCGCTCCTTTTTTCTGTTAAAATTATGCAGCCCTACTCCTCCCCCCTCTAGGTCAGTTTTTTTTTGCATCATAACAGGAAGTACTCTCCTCTCGCAGCCGTTACGAGGCTCGTTTCCAGGTCACTCTTCAACTGGTGGGCGAGACCTGGGAACGAACCTCGTAAGAGTTGCGAAAGGAGACTTGACTGGAAGAGGATGAGATCAAATCAAGTTTCTTACCACACGCCCAATTCCTTTTGGTTCTTCGTACCACAGCCATTTCACATTGTCATGTGAATACCTTAAAGTGAAATACTTGACGAATTCATTTTCATTCGGGTTGCCTTGAATTGCAATGGATTCAATCATCTTTACGCTTTTAAAGTTAACCTGTAAGTACTGGTCAGCGGCAGGCTCAGCGGCACACCATACATTTGAGTTGAAAAGTTTTCCATTTGAAGGCTGATAATTTGACCCCCGTCTTGAGGGCGATTGAAAGGTCGAACTCTCCGAGATCACCAACGGCTCATTGCAGTATGGATCTGAAAGTAAAGTTTTCCTAAATGTCCCGTCATGCACTCTGATACATCTTTGTATTGTTGACAGGACAACGAAACAAAAACGAATAATCTACGAAAACCTATTAGAGCGGATTTCGTATGAGTGGGACACCGTTACCTCACGGTTACCGCACAGTTACCTGACCTGGCCTGCGCAATTTTGGTGAACCAATGGGGCACTAGAATTTGGATACAGTACGATTACGGTCACATGAGTTCCGTCCGTTTCCTACTCATACGAAATCCGCTCTATTGTGCAGGTAGAGTATAAGGAAAGAGAAACCAGGACCACGTATTTAAGTTTCCGTAGAGATATGGATATGTAGACCGCAATGGCATTATGCATGAGATACGTGAAATGTATCGTTGAGAGAAACGACTGAGGAGCTCTGGGGACAAGACTGCCGAAACACGGAATATGTTAGGGGGATGAAAGCGCATGCGTAAAGTGAATTGAAGTATCCATGCTTACGTGAGGTAGAAAATAGTTATTAATATGCATCAGTTACAAAAAAGACATTAAAAATTAAAGGCTTTTAATACAGTACCTCCACTGGATGGTGCAATATAACTAAGAATCACCTAAATAAAGATGAAAAGAAATATACTTTTGTGAAATGATCTTTTTATAATCCTAACGTCTGTTTTTTACTTTAGTCAGATGCCGAATCGCAAGCTGATTCACAAACACCATGAGCGCGTTAAACTTAAAGCAACAATAGGTCACGAACATGACAAGCGCACGTCTGAATGTGTCTCGCGGCAAGTCATAAGTAAAGGCATCTCAGAGTACGGATTATGAATTTAAGAATTTTGATAGAATCTCAGTACTTAGAAAACATGGTAATAAAAACATGCAGAAGATAAAAAAGGACGCCATGAGAATTAATGCGCATGCAATTATTATGAAAACAGAATCACTAAAAAAGAAACAAAATCCAGCGAATATTTGAAAGAAAATAAAAGATATACTAGAAATAAAAAGTCACGGTGAGTTTCTGGAGAGCGAGAAAAAAATAGTTGAAAAGAAATTGGCTTTACATAGTTTGAAGATCATTTCTTTTAGATTATTTGAATCCGTCACCAAGGGACAAAAAATCAAATTAAAAAGAAAGCGAAAAGACCACATACATATAATCCCTCCTAACTCTACTTAAACAACAGTGAATTAAAAGAGAACGAAAAGGTTTTTCACTGTTTTCTAACTAATAATTGAAAACGCAATACAAACAGAATACCTGAAGTAGGATGCCAAGAATCGACATTCCACTACTTGTGCGTCCAAGTCCTACTAACTTTCCGTTTCTCATTTTCATGATATTCAGAGGTGATTTTCAATCGTTTGTAATCACATCGAGAGCGAATGGATTTTTAATAAACAAACAGTTTGTTTCTACAATATTAGCGACTGCAGAGTTTTCAAACAAATTAAAGCAACACAACGGGATATAGGAACTTTGATAACGAGTTTTAAATAAACTAAAGTTAAGAAACTCACAAAATTTTCACATTTTACCGTATGTGTGCCCACATTAATGAAGAAATTGAGTAAATACGAAAACATAAGCAGTGTCGTTGCACTTTTGAATGTCCTTTAACTTGGAGCTGTTAAAAACTTTTTAAAAAAATACTTAAAAGTATTTTCATTAAACATTCATAGTTTCACGGGATTAAGGATGCCAACTTTTAATTAACTCAAATTAAATCRAATTGAAAAACTTTTCTTTTGACAAAGAGAAAGGAAACTTACTGAAGGTATAGTAAGAATGAGCACAGCAAACGGAAAGAAGGAAAAAAAAAATCAAGAAAGCAATCAAACGAAATGAATGAAAAACAACAAAAAACAAACGAACTGAATTCAAGGGCGTCTAATTGAGTTGCCACCACATTAATAATTAATCTACCAATTGTAATTAATTTACCTTTTTTTTCTAATTTAATGCCAAAGTCCACTACCTGCGCATGCCTTATTAGCTGATGGCGCACGCAATAGTTTGGTGGTCAATAGGTGGGCCGTACGATAATAATAATAATAATAATAATAATAATAATAATAATAATAATAATAATAATAATAATAATAATAATAATCTAAGCTTATAAAGCGCTTATAAAACTTTTTCTAAGCGCAAATAAAAAGGTAAAAATTAAGATATTAAGAAAGTTAAAATAGAGTCACAGATCATAAGTTTGTTTAAAAAGGAAGGTTTTGAGAGCAGTTTTAAAATTGTCAAGTGAAGAAATGTCTCTGATTGAAGATGGCAGTGAATTCCATAGAAAACGTCCAGCAACACTAAAAGAACGATAACCATAACTTTTAAGATTGTAAGACTTGGAAGACAGTAACAGTTGAGACGACGAACGAAGACAACGAGAAGGACGATGACGATGACGATGACGTAGTTTGTTTACATCCAAAATTTAAAATTCAAAAAATAAGCAATCTGAACTCATATAATTCAAGATTATATTAATGTCAACAAAACCTGTAAATTTTAGGGCAAACGCCTTTTTACATTTCGAGATATCGGAATTTCAAAACTACAAAATCTATAGAAAACATTCAGTGGTTGGCAAGATAATGCCAACCACGGTCATTTCTTTAAAGAATCTTGCAAATTCGGCGCTTGATATCTCTTGAAATATTTAACCAATTGACTTCAAATTTGCAAAAAACAGGTATGAGTCCTTTTCATTTATGGGCTTGATTTAATTCGATTTCTGACTTTTATGCAAATTAGCTAAAACGTAAACATTGGCGCCCACATATTAGGTAGGTAATGACAGCCGGACGAGAGGGAATAAGGCGAGAGCTTCTCAGTACTACCGTTTATTGCTACAATGTCGAGTAAATTCTTCAGTTTTCAGGTTTTCCGCGAAACAACAGTTTTGATTTGGACGCCTTTTCAGCACTCTTGGCAAAGTAGAATGTCGTTTACAGTCTCTCACGATCAATATGGGACAGGAAGCCCAACTAAGGAAGTGGCATCAGAGTTTTTTATAAAACATTTTTTTGTTACAYTTCTTCCCATGATGTTCGCTTTTGTCATGGCATCCAATATGAACCAGTTTTAAATTGTCAAGTGTGAAGAGGAGTTGGAAGAAGTAATCAGAGTTCAGTTTGTGCTTTTTGGGGCACTTCTCTGCTGCATTTAGCAAGGTTGGCAAAACTTCGCGAGACTTTTCAATCCTGTAACATTAGAATACAGAAGTTAATTATCARTACATGCATAATTAAATACTGAATTTTCTTCAACTTCTATTGGAAAATTCCAATAGAAGTAGTTCTTTGTTTGTCTCTTAAAGTAAATATAGAGTTCAAATTTCAGTAATTAATGCAATTGTAGTGAGAGCTGTAGTGTACATCTGCAAAACATAGGAAGCTAAATGGTTTTAGGGGTCTAAATGGGCTTTATTTGTTATAAACAACATTGAAAATAATTATAAAAATCAGTACACTTTTTCTGCTCAKAGGAGAGGCTACAGCACCCATTTGCCCCTCCCTAACCCTACTAAATTCATACCTACACCACCCCTGTACTCACACATGATCCAAATTCCATGTACTAAACAAAACCCTGCTTTCCTTGCTGCCATATGGGTTGATTTTGTGGCGCTTCGAACATTGTCGAACATTGTACTCTCCTTGACATTCAAACCATCCCTTATCGCAACATAATCTAAAACCTTCATCTTCTCCAGTGCGGACAAAATAGCCACCAAAGTAATCTTCTTCTTTAAGTTTTTCTTTGAAATTTGCTAAAACTTCTGATAATAAAGTGGATGCTTTGCCTTTTGTGACCTGAATCAAAATCAAAAGATTGTTTTGAATATGATATTCTCTTGTGTTCTTCAGTGCCTGCATTCTTGGATCTTTTTATTGAAATTAAAAACTCTAWAGTGTTGGCCTTAACTTACATTTCCATCRACAAACTCYTTTGTCTTTGAGAGATAACTTCTTATTCTTGATTGTGCCGAGTTTCTAAGTACTTCACTTTTTGTTTTAAATCTTTCATTAACACCATCAAACCATTCTTTGTCTTCTTCCTTGTCCTCAGCATCAATGTTTTCACTTAGTCTGAAAAATTTAATTGAGTTATCAGCTCCTTCCTCATACGATTAAATTGAGTTATGTATATATATATTAGCAATGGGTTGACATGTTGTGGGGTGGGGTAGAGCAAATGWGTAGKGGTATGGTGCAGGTTTTGCCATCACAGGTAGCCCAAAATGACATTCATTAAATTYTTGATTTGCAGGTGCACATATATGTCTTTGAAAAAGCTAAATCTTGGAATTATAGTATGTAAAAGTACTGCAAAATCTCACCTGTTAACAACTGCAGACATGATGTCATAAACATGCTCAGAATTGCCTTCACTGATTAAGTTATTGATGTTTTCGATAATCTTATCTCGTTGTGATGATGCCAGTTCAAATACTTTCTCTGTAGCATTCTTGAGCACTGTTAAATCTACAAATCATTTGTATAGTAGTTATAGGRCCTTATAGAAGCTCAGACCTCTACTAACTGTGCCCAGCTGACCACTGAAGTGTACAGTTTTCAGACAGTRTCAAAAAACTGCTTTGCATTTCATGATAGACATTTTATAGCAATCAAAAAGAATGGAAAAATGAAATGAATAGCCAATTGGATGAATGAAAGAAAGTCACGTGATGAGATAATAWMAAAGACARGAAGGACTTTGAAATGTGAAAATATTTAGAAAGTCAARACAACTTACATCCTTCCCAYTGTTCATCTGGCTTCACAAATACCAACACCGTTTGAGCTGGAAGAGTTTCGAAATATTCTTCATCGTCCACCTCGGTTCCATCTTCCATACAAACCCTGCAACCTTCCGGAGGTAATCGTAGCTTTTCTACGCCTTTTTYCGTCAATTCGGCAAGAGAACTAGCAATTACACCTTTTCTGAAATTTCGTTTGACGTCTTGAACTTTATAAGCTTTGGACTCCTTCATTTTCTCTGCTGTAAAATTGGAACTTCAAGTTGCAATCACCCTATGTCAATTTGTATGTTTGGGCTTCCTGTGYAGCACGAAAGCTGGGTACAAGTGATCTCACATTTGCAAGAAGTGTTGGTAAAGGATAGATTGAGAGGCTTTTCTGGTGACAAGAAGCTATTTRTATTGCGCATTTCTCAGGATTTCTCGAGACGTTTTGTGATTTCATTCGTGCAATTGCAGCTCACAAAGATTATTTTGTCGTACTTTGAAAACCGGAAATAACATTCATATTTCCCGTGATACACTGCGCGCATGTCAGTCTTTGACAACAGACTGTGTAACATGGCGCAGTTGTTACAGAAGACTGATTTTTCAAGAATTTTATTCWAAATTTTATAATCTAAAACTTTCTTTCTTTCATCATGGCAAGCAGTAGTACTAGTAGTCGAAATGAGTTTATAGTTGGAGGGAAATACCGCCTTGTTAAAAAGATTGGTAGTGGTTCTTTTGGGGATATTTACCTCGCCGTCAACATGACTAATGGAGATGAAGTAGCAGCCAAGCTTGAATCTCAGCAAGCTCGTCATCCCCAGCTATTGTACGAATCTAAGCTCTACAAGATACTGCAAGGGAGTGTTGGTATTCCAACCGTGCGATGGTATGGCCAAGAGAGAGATTATAACGTTTTAGTAATGGAACTCCTCGGACCAAGCTTGGAGGATTTGTTTAACTTTTGTTCGCGTCGTTTCACAATGAAGACAGTTTTGATGCTCGCAGACCAAATGATAAGTCGCGTGGAGTACGTCCACAATAAAAACTTTATTCATCGCGATATCAAGCCGGACAATTTCCTCATGGGAGTGGGCAAAAATTGCAACAAGTTATATTTGATCGACTTCGGACTAGCCAAAAAGTATCGAGATAGTCGATCAAAACAACACATCCCTTACCGAGAAGACAAAAACCTGACTGGAACAGCTCGCTACGCCAGCATTAACGCACATCTGGGAATCGAACAGTCAAGAAGGGATGATATGGAATCTCTAGGGTATGTTCTGATGTATTTCAACAGAACAAGCTTACCATGGCAAGGTCTGAAAGCGGCAACAAAGAAGCAAAAATATGAGAAGATAAG